ACACCCCAGGGCTGCCCAGCCAAAGGCCCCCCCTTTTCTGAAAGACCCACAGTTAAGGCTGAACAGTAGGGCTGACACCCCAGGGCTGCCCAGCCCAAGGTCCCCCCCTTTTCTGAAACATCCACAGTTAAGGCTGAACAGTAGGGCTGACACCCCAGGGCTGCCCAGCCAAAGGCCCCCCGCTTTTCTGAAGCACTGGGCAGAGCAGCCTCTATTTGAAAGGCAGTGTCCAATGCTTGCATGACTTTTGGGGTGTGTTGCCGGAAGCCAGCGGCTGCTTGCCTCCTGGGGCGGAGGGCCCTTCCTGCATATACTTCCAAGGCCCCATGCCATGGCTGCCACCCTGCCACATGTAACCCAACAGGTGCTTGGCACACCAGGGGATGGTCCAGGGAAGCACTAACGTTCTGTGAAGTAAGAGACAAGTCCAGATGCTCTGTGTGTTTCTTCACTAGATATCACACATGATTTTTAACAGATGTGATTTAACTCTTAAGACTTTTTAAGCTAAAACAGAGACAAAGACAGAACAGGAAAAAAGGGAGCCACCTGGAATTTGTGAATAAAGTTTTATTGGCACGGCCTGCTGCTCTTCTATGTCTGTCCCATCTGGGCCCCACAGTGGCAGGCCAGAGCTATCCAGACAGACGTGTGACTGGCCAAGGAGTGACAGTCACTATCTCACCCCCTACAGGAACAGCATGCTGGAGTCTAGATGTGGGAGTTGTAAGGTTCTGCCCAGAGCTAGCCACCACCCCAACCTAGGCTTCCTGTCTGGTGTCCCAGAGACCCCAGCCCCAGAGCTAGGGTGGGTACAACTGGTCCATTCTCTGTGTTGGTCCTCATGGCATTCGCAATAGGCTGAAGATTCTGAGGACTTGTGAGTTATACACAGGCACAAACCTGGCATACACACACATGGGCGCACGCGCGCACCCTGAGCTTCTGGCCATTACCCTCCACACAGCCCCTGCACCCAGGAAGGAGGCTTTAGTCAAGTGGGTGCCGGCTGAGCACAGCACATTCAAGGACACTCAAGGCAAACTCAGCCCAGTTCTGCCCCCTTAGGAGCACCTGGATGACCAGAAAGTTGCCTGGGCAGACCACCAGCCTGGGTAGGCAATGCGGCACCCTGACCACACAAGGCTGTGGGTCAGGGCAAAGGCACTGGGAGCCCAACCAGGGGCAGGAGCAGGGGCCGAGTGCCAGCCAAGCCACCTCTGCTTGGGGAGTCAGGGAGAGCAGGTCAGGAGGAGAAGCCAGCGCCTGGATGCCAGAGCAGCCCCTTCTCCAGGGCCATACAGGGAAGCCAACCCCTCTATGGGCACCAACCCCAGAGGCTCCAGGCCTGGGTCTCACACTGTCCCTTTCACAGCCTGTGTCCACTTTCCATCCATAGCACCAGCACCCAAGGACCTGAGAAGAAGGGTGTGGATAAACAGCCTGGCCTATGAGCCCAGCACAGCAGGCGGCCTGCTTCCTTCCTGGAGCTGCTGCAGCCCCAGGCCACACCCCACCTCGCCTGGTGGGTAAACAGGGTGGGAACAGTTCACACCCTCTGAAGCTGAAAGCAGGTGCCCAGGCTTCTGGACCTGCCCCCCTCTATCCTACTGCAGCCTGTGGGATGTAGGCCACCACCATTCCCATTTCACAAACTAGCAAGGCTGGGAGGTCAGGATGGCCTGAGCTGAACAGTCTGAATGGTCAGGTCTGTGGCCTTCAGACATAGCTGGCGTCAGCACAGGAAGAGCCTCAGCCACTGTCCTGGCCTGGGCACAGGGCCCCACCTTTGGGAAGCCCAGAACTGAGGCCCAGGGCTCCACCAGGCTTAGCCCCTTAGAAGGGCCAGACTATGGCCAATGTTACTCCTCCCTTAGGGACAGAGGCTGCACTGGCCTGGCGATGCCTCACAGGTGACACCACAAGGAGAGGGAATCATGGCCCTGGAGCCATGGTGAGCCTGCAAGGGTCCCCACTGGAATCCCAGGGCCTCCAGGTGGGCACAGCCTTGGGATAGCCCTACCCAGGTGGAGGGAAGGCATGTGGGGAGGAGCCTGGGGGCCAGCCCAACTTTGGCGTCTAGCTCCAGGCTGGCCAACATTTCTATACAAAACTGTAAGAACTCAGAAATTACCCTGGGGAGCTCACTCTGAGGAAAGGCCGGGAAAGTGAGTCAGGGAGCAGCAGCCAAAAGGCACTAATGGGGTACAGACTCCAGAACAACAAGAGCAATAGCACCTCCCTCACTAGCCAGGTATCCGAGCCCAGGGACACTGAGGCCCATTGCCTGGACAATGCTGAGCATCCTTCCAAGGATATACAGACCAGGACAAGCCTGAGCCAGCCACAGCCAGGAAGGGCACAGGCAGAGCCCCTGGGCTGCACGTGATTGCAGCTGACCCCACCAGGCTTCCCATTCTGCAGATCCAGGACCCAGGACTTGAGGCTGCTGGTGCTCCTGGATTCTCCTTCCTCACCCTGTGGCTGCCTGAAGAGGTGAGGAAAACATGGCTCCTGGGACAGAGAAGTGCAGCTGCCCAAGCAGGGCTGAGAGCCTGTGGAAACCTCTCCACAAAGCCCTGCACTGGGGAGTCTGCAGCTCCAGCACATCTTGAGGGCACACACCAAGACCCCATCTCAGCTTTCCCTGTGTTGGTGTAGGAAATACCTACAGCCTTCCCCACAGCCCTGCAGATTGCCAGCCGCGGGGCTGAAACCCCGGCGCGCAGGGACAGAGTGACTGGCCAGGCCTGCTGGGACTCAGGGGCCTCCCAGGACCAGCACTGCTCTGAGAGTCAGAGAAAGGAGGTTGGCAGAAGCCTCTGAGCAGCCCCTCCCCAGGGCCACAGAGTTGGGAGCCTGGACCTCCCACGGTGAGTACTGACCCCAGAAGCTCTAGGGCAGAGCAACTGGGCCAGCTACTCCTCTGCTCTATGTCCTGGACTCAAAGGCTTATGAGCCATCAGCATCACCCTTCTCTAAGCCCTCTGGGCCCCTCTATCAGCACAAGCACCCCATATCCTCAACCTACTCACTCGATGCCACCTCCTAAGACTTTCCAGTCTGCGACACATGGACACCTTGGTCCCTCTAGCTCTGGAGGGCAGGGAACACATCTTATTACCACTGCAGCTCTGATGCCAGAGGAGCCTGGACTAGGCACTCATCCTCGGTTGTCTAGCAAATATTCCCAAGAGCAGCCACCAACAGCCAAGCCCCCATCCTGGACAGAAGTCAGGGTGCCCTTCTGCCAGGGCACAGGCAATGTCTGGCTGGAGTTTTTGGAGGATTGGGATGTGGGTTCCAGAGAATTGCACCCTCAGCAAGTTCAAGACTCAGCACCAGGCTAGGCAACTCTACTCACCCAAGAGACCCAGGCAGTTACCTGGGCCCTCTGCAAATAGGGAAGAGAATCAAGGGAGAGGACCCCGCCTCTCACACTGGCCTAACCATGAACATCAATGCCGACCCACTGCAGCCCTTCTACCCAGGAGGCTGTGTGCTCAGGGCCCAGGTAACTGCCCTGATCCAGCCAGGGGACATCTACATGACCAGTCATGGCAAGAGGAACTCAGGCCACCAGATCTGCATCTGAATGAGGGGAGCTGCTCGAATGGGCCATTCCGTAGTTCACCTGCCTGTCTTAAAGATCCAGCATGTCATGCCCATGGCTCTGGGGCCCACAGATTCCTGTGACGTGGATGGACAGATGTCCAAGAAGCAAAGCTCTGAAGCTCTTCCTTGCCCATCAGAGCCCACACCCAGAGCCTCACTGTCACCAACAGGGACAAGTGCAGGTACAGAGCACTGAGGGGAAATGAGCACCTGGCCCATATCCTGAGGCAGGGCTGTAAACATTAGCATCTCAACTCGTGAGATTAGGGGCAGAGAACTGGAAACAGTGAGAACAGGGTGACAAGCACAGGAAGGACAGGTGGGCAGTGGCAGTTTCAGGACCAAGCCTGGGGGGAGGGGTAGACTGGGGACAGATCCATCTCTAGACACAGGACAGGGCCAACCACAGCCTGACAGGGCCACAGCAGGGTAGAGAGGAGGGGTCCCCTCAAGGCACAGCCCAGATTCTGTGGGTAGCTCTGGTGACAGCTGAAGGTGGTTGTGGTAGAGTCGACACCCACGTACCTACGGCTGCCAGTTCCCACGAGGGGAGCCCAGCAGGCCTGCTTCAGGGAGGCAGGGATGCGGATCTACAGCCAGGCTGACTCCACTGCCTGCAGATAGCTCTAGACACAGGTCAGGAGCTGTTGAGCCACCCTGTCAGGGAGACCAAGAAAAGGGGGAACCACTGGGGCAAGTCCCCCTCCAGGGAGGAAAGACCAGACAGAGCTGAGGAAGGAGACAAGGGTGTACCCTGGGGACTCTCCCTGAGGGAAGAAGCTGCAGCCATTCTGGGGAGGAGACTTGCTGCTCCCAGGTGGCTATTCAGCCCAGTGTCCCTCTGTCCTGCTGTGCACTCCCGGTGGCAGCCAGCACAGAGCGGGCACAGTCACACGGGAGGCCATATGTTAAATCACATGACTTGTGCATAAATGGCTCTGGCACATCTAATGAAGAAATAATGTCAGCAAGATGATTGTCAAAGGAGGATGGTCCTCCCCGCCACATCCAGGCCACCACGGCACAAATCTGGGCTTCACTGACAGAGAAAGTTGGGCCCTTTCAGGGAAGCCTTTTACTGCTCCTGGCTTCAAAATAAAGGCCAGCAGAAGCACGGAGGCACCAGAGTCTGATTAATGCCTAATCATTTATCTGGCAGAGACAGCTCAGTGCCATGTGACACGGGCTCCAGGAGGCTCCTCTGTACTGCTGAGTCCCTGCAGGGGTGCACAGGTGCGTCTGAGGATGACTGCCCCAGCCCCACCCACGCCCTCCACCAGGAAACCAGGGCTCCCCCTGGGACTACCCAAGGCTCCTGCAACCTGTGTCTTTTGGCTCCTCCATGACAGGGGAGCCCCGACCTCAGTGTCTGACCCTGCAGAGGGGCATAACTGCTGGTCACAGCCCCAGTCACTCCTAGGAGCCTGGTGGCCACTGTCATTACATAAAACACCCCCACTTGTGAATAACTGACAATGCAAAGCCACGAAGCATCTGACCCCTTTTAATCGACGACAATTCCGCAAACAGCCGAATTCAACAGTGCGTCTGAACAAAGAAAAGTGCGTTAATTATGGCAGATACACGGAGTTCGGGAAGCCCAGCGACACGCGGAGACGCACTGGGGCGTGGGGACTCTGGCTCCTGACACCCAGCCCCAGCGCCGCCCGGCGCCCGCAGCCCCTCTACGGACTGTCCGCTCCCCCGCCCCGAAAAGTCACAGCGACTTTGAGACACTTTCGCTCCCCGAGTGGCGGCCGCGC